GCCTGCCCCGTTACTGGACCTGGCGGGACCGAGGGCTCTCCGCACCCCGACCCTGTCAGAGCTGCCGGCCCGCCACGGTCTGGCTGCTGCCGGTGCGCTTACCCCGGGCTGGCTCTGGCCGGGCTGGGGAACGGCCAAAGTCGGGAACAAGCAGGTGATGAATCGGGCAGATTCATCGTCTAGACCTGCGCTTCTGGAAAGAGGGACAGGAACAGGGAACGCTAACAGCTTTGGAGTATAACTTGTGGGTGGCTTTTTCCTAAACTTTGTATGTAAAATAGTCATGTGTGGTTAACTGGTGAAATAACAGTTCGTGAGCGTAGCTGTTGGCTTAGGGTGTTTTGCTTCACAGGTAGGAATGTTGGACGTGGATTAAATCTCTGATACCACGTAACACTCATGCCAGAATTGTGTCTGGCTACAGATGAAATATTAAGGCAACACGTATTTTAACAAAGCCATTAAAATAAAAACCAAAATTATCAATGCCATCCCTTCTGATGCCAAGCATCTACTGAGAAGCAACACAAGCATTCAATATATCCCCAAGATCCTTTGATCAAGCTTGGTGTCAAGTATTAGTTCAATAAAATTTTAAGTGTGCAGTAAAACCCCTACTTGTTAAGCCTGTGGGTTAAAATAATACTAGTAATTGGCAGCTGGGTGGGATGGAGAAATCAAACCTAGAAATGTGAACATCTTAATGATTGACAAAGATTTACCTTAACAGTTAAGCAGGTGTGGTAACTTGTGCTCTCCTTGAAGTCATGCAGCACACTTGCAGTGAGAACTGGTTATGAAACACTGAATCTTGACTCTTCTGTCAACAAAAACATGAATGAATAACTTCAGCAAAAGGATTATGCAAATATTGCAATTAATGTTCTTAATAAAACATTCCAATATGTACTTTCTCTTGAATGGTTTATGGTCACAAGTGTATGTGTATCACAGGTTTGGGGTATCCCAGATGGCCGTAAAAACAGAAGAACAAATTTAAATTGTGTATATAACTCTTTGCATTTTTTTTCTAAACAGAGCAACATAGATGAGACACAAGTATTTCATATTTAAGCAGGGTAAGAAGGAGAAAAAATTATGAAATGCACATGCTTGTTCCTCACCCCTCCTAGGCAGGGTACAAGCCAACAGTTTGATGTGCAGTACTCCAATCCAGAGTATGTCCAAGAGAGGAAGCTGTGCTGTGTTGCATATGCATGTTTAGGCAACCAGCAGATCAAGATGTTGTAGTTCCCTCAGTTCGGTTCTCGGCATATTCCCAGCTGCTGCTTCTCATTCTCTTCAGTGTTTGAGGTGTGTAGAGACAATGTTGAAACTAGTAAAAGCTGGCGGCTCTCCTTTGCTACCTGTTTCTAATACATTCTCTTCATGGGGCAGCAATACCACGGATAAAATTTTTCTAATGTAAGAGATGGTAGATCTATTAGTGTAGTTAAACATAGCAGTGGTTAAAGTTGTTACTTTCCCATACAGAACAGAACAAGGCCTGCAGTGGGTTTAGGGTGTAGTACTTCTGAAGTATTCCCAGGCATGAGCTACATACAATATTAAAGGTGCATACAGTATAGTTTGGTAGCAGTATTCTTCATTTTGGAATAACATTATCCATACTGAAGGTGATAAACAAATGCAAAGTTGTGCTTGTTCTCGTTTTGGTATGTGCCTCATCTTTCTCACACCTTTGAAAGCTAACTTTTCACTGGAATGCTGACCTGAAGGGAAACAGCTTGTTCCCTGTGCTGGGACTATGTTTAAGAAACAAAACAAACAAAAAAACAACCCCACAATATACAACAACAAAAAAACCCCACTTCCCCCCTCCAACCACTCATAAATAAAATATTCTGAGGATCTCTGACTGCTACTGAGAAACAACATCAGTACTACACTTACCTGTCCAGTATTAAAGGAGAGGAGTTCTAGTAGAGGTACGGAGATTTTTCATTTAAGACCATAACGACTTACTTCATTTATAGCAGAAATTTGGATTAAGGTCTTCAGAGAGATTGTGTTGGTAGAATAGCTTCCATTGGAAGGGTCTCCAGAGTTCTGATAAAGCCATGTTCTGCTGCGAGTCCCATCTCCAGCAAATCTTAACTTTTTTTGTGTGTGTGTGCTTAGGGTGAAAATTTTGATCAGTCACATGTTGCTCTGCCAAATGTTTCCAAGTTCTTCTTGCATCAAGCTCTGGAAGAGAGAAAAGCAGCAGAGGCTTTGATGAAGTATCAGCAAGAAAGAGGAGGCCATTACTGTTCTAAAACCATCCAGGTGGGTAGCAGACAACAAGCTTTCAAGAATTTGCAATCTGCAGTAATTAACTTCTTGCATTATATTGTTGGTATTTCAGATCCCTGCATTCATCCACTATTAGATTTCCAGATATAATTTCCCTGACATATTAGCGTACGTGGTTTTGTTCTTGATTGTGATGCCTAGAAGCTGTCAGACATCAATCCTAACTCTACGGGGTTGCTTTCTAGTCCAAAAGAATATGAAAAATAGTCCCCATTTTCTTTCACTCAGATGGAGACTGCTGTTTCCAGTGTGCTCTAATGGATTATGAGTCCCCTTAACTGTGCTGAAACAGCCCATTTATCTCCTTCACATTGAAACTAAATAGAAGCCATCAGCACCTAAGAAAGGTGGCAAGGAAGTAGGTAGGAGAAACATCCAGCTTGGGGTGGTAGTTGATCTGCTGGAGCATAGCTCAAGATAGAATTTGAACTAGAGATTTGACTCAGGCTTGCACAGGTATGAAGGAATAACTGAAAGTTATCAGGAAAAAAAAAACCCAACCCTTATTTGTTAAAGACCAAGAGGCTGATTCTCCTCTGCCAAATTAGTATTCTGTAAATAGTTAATACTGAATGCTTTTCTTTGGCCTATCACAGCAGTTTTTAAGCTGTAGAAAGTAAAAATAAAAAGGTCATATTGAAAAACTTACTAAATATTTGGTTTGAATCAACAAGACCATATAGCAGTATTCTGGTACTTAAAGGGGGGCTACAGGAGAGATGGGGAGGGACTCTTCATCAGGGAGTGTAGTGATAGGAAGAGGGGTAACAGTTTTAAGCCGAAAGAGAGTAGATTTAGATTGGATATTGTGAATAATTCTTTCACTGTGCGGGTGGTGAGGCAGTGGCCCAGGTTGCCCAGAGAAGCTGTGGATGCCCCATCCCTGGAGGAGTTCAAGGCCAGGCTGGATGAGGCTTTGAGCAACCTGGGCTAGTGGGAGGTGTCCCTGCCCATGGCAGGGGTTGGAACCAGATGATCTTTAAGGTCCCTTCCAACCCAAACCATTCTGTGATTCTATGATAGGGTTTCCTGGTGTAAGAATGCTCCTCAGGCATAGCTATCTAAATCTCTATTACTTGAAAAAGTGCTTGGGTTCTGACACTTCTGTATGTTTGCAGACATCCAACTCTGCAAAAACCAACAGATGCTCCAAACTAGAAGGAGCTGTTGCAAAATCCTATCACACCTTGTTTAGAGCACCAGGGAAGTTGCAGGAGACCATCAGTGAATACAGTTAAGATAAGCTGTTCTTCTGAATTAATGGAATTCTGTCTTTGTTTTTAGAAACCAAACTATGAGTATGCAGTCGGTCTGATGAAAGCCCTGGAAGTAGCAATGGTACAGTGGAAAACTATGATGCGGTATTTTGAAGAGCTTTATGCCCTGAGTATCGAAAGTGCAGACCCTCATAGCGCAAGCACTATCAAGAGTCAATTTATTGGGCCCAAAATCCGGAAGATCAAGCTGATGGGAGATCTGCTGACCAATGCTCGCAGGCTTGACTGTTCCCAAGATGGCAGAAATAGTCTTGGGGATTATTTTATGGACCGGCTGCAGAAAGAGTTCAGAACATGCACAGAGCCAGAGTGTAGTCAGCACTGCGGCCCCTGCTCACCTCTCCAGCAGTGTACAGGATCTGCAGAGGGTCTGAAGCGACCCCAGAGAGAATTTTCCCAGCACAGAAATGGCATAGGGCCAGCATGTGCAACCATTTACTGCACTACCATGCTGCCACAGTGTAACGATGGGACAGGAGCAAAAGTGAAGCAGAGCAGGGAGGGACTTTAATGCTGTGGCTGTTGCAGCTACAGGGGAGCTCCTAAGGCAGACCTGTATGGACAGCAGCCTTGAGACCAGAACTCAGGAGATGTGATGCTGTATTGCTCCTCCTGCTTTTACACGCTTTTCCTTTGTCCTCAGTTGAGCCACAGCTCAAAATCTAGACCATACCATTATTTTGTTTAAGTGATAGCAGGGTTGCTAGTTACCTAGGCTGTCAGCATTAGTTCCACTTTTATCTATGCAATTCTTTCTGGAAGCCAAAAGCTTTTAAGCCTCTTTTCTGTCTTAAATGATTAATAGGATTAGTTAGTGCAAATTATTTTTAACAATATATATAACTTTTATTAAGAAAAAAAAAAAAACAAAATGCAACTTTTGTACAAGGAAATTTCTATGGGGCAGAAAATCCCAAGACTTAGTTTGACATTATTAGAGATTTTATAGTACTAACATTTTACACTACTAACAAGTATACTAACATAATGAACTTTTTAAAAATACTGGTTTTAAAACAAAGTTTTCTTGTCTTCTATCAATCACATTAGCAATTTAAATAAGTAGCGTAATTCATTTACTTATCACCCAGTTATTTCTAGTGGTATAATTCTCCAAGATAAAGGCTGCAAACACTTCCTCAACAGTAGGAGTAAGACAATGTGCTGGGTTTCTCTGCAGTTATTTGCCAAGTTGGCTTTTCTGATCCTTAGCAAGCAGATGAGAGCAAATTAGGGGTTCTTATTGTGTGTGATATTTACAGGTTCTAGTGCATAGCCTGCCAGTGTCACTGAAGACACTAGCTCTAGGGCTCTGTCCAGACCTAACCTAGGATGGTTGCTCTAATTACCATACAGACCCCTGTTTCTGCTTGCTAAATTATGGTATTACTGTGGTACTACTGCTAGTGCTTGTATTCTCTATCTTGGTCCTCGGTAGAGGAATAAGATCCTAGTGAAGGTGCAGCACAGTTAATTAGAATTGCATCATAAAGAGTGGACACTCATTAGTTTTGCATTTCAATTTGAAGGTCTATTAGCAGCACCACACCTAAGGCTTTTACTTTCGCTATCTTGGTTAAAGTTCAGAGGTGTCCCAATTCCTTCCATCCATGTCCTACAGAGTGCCTCTCTTTCTGTACACTGGCTACCAAGTCAGCTAAGAAGAGCAACAGGCTGGATCAGCTGCCTGCAGCTAGGTTTTTTTCTCATTATATACAACATATTTTATGCAATTGGGGTTTGCTTCCTTGAAAGATTGTCTCACACTTTTATGTAATACTATAAGTGATACTCCTATTATGCTTGAAAATAAATACAGTTCATTGTTTATAATGGCACTTTGCATTTACATTGTATTCCCCAATTTACCATGTAGGCATGCTAGTATTCTTCTCCAAGAGGTCTTGCGTATGTGTACAAAGCTGCACCAGTATTTTTCTGCTACTAAGAAAGTTGCACAAGATGGAAAAGTAGACCACAGAATGAAAATAAATGTCGGAAAACTGCATTAAGAATACTGCACAATGAAACATTTTCAGTAAACGTTTTTTATACACAGCTGCAGTTAAGTAGCCATTTCTGCAAAACTGCATTAGCTCACCTGCTTTCTGTTGGTGTTGTAACACAGGACAACTACAATGCAGATACTTTACCAATCTTTTTGTTAATATGATTCAGCTGGGGAAGGAGGGAGTCAGTTTAAAACAATCCTTGTATTCACCTGTAAAGAATACTGCAGTGTGCCACAAGAATGGCTTGAAGCACTTTTAGCAACATGCTAGATTTGCCTGTTTTGAGATGGCTGCTCTCTAATACAGCAGTAGTTTAAAAAAGATATTTCCACTGGGGCTAGATTCGTGCATCCTCATGCTGAGCATACCTTATTGAACCATTAGTTCCACTGACTGCAACTCAAAAGTGAATAAAAACAATGGAATCCATCCCTCTCAGTAGTGAAATGGTAGCTTACTAAGTATGAACAGAACAAATCTACTAACTGAATTATAAACTAGTGCCATGTAAACCCCCTTCAAATACTACTGGTAATGTTTGACCTACTTCTACAACAGTCTTCTCCTCTAAGAGTTGGTGACCTTCTGAAATGTAGGTACAGCCTCCTCCAGGGTTTCCAGCACTTAAGACTGTCTTCTACTTTAAATGAATTACAACTTAACAAAGAACCCCACATTTAAATTTTTCAAAGCAAGACTTACTTGCCTCTTCTTTTTCTCTGAAATACTGCCACGCCCATTTCTCAGAGCCTTTTCTCATATTCATCTTTGTACCCAAATGTATCCACATATTCGCAGACTTTAAGTGTTTCTCCCTTTTTCAAAACACTTTCTGGACCCTCTGCCTGAAGAGACAATTCTGTTAATTTTAGATAAACTCACAATCAGCTATTTTCTCAGTCTCAAAAAGAAAAGATAATTCAATCAGTTACTGTAGATAACAAGCTCTTGTCCACATGGTGCTTCTGCTGAGAGGGCACATATGCTTATGAGTATGATCTCACACTTTGTGAACGATACCTGTCTGTTGTGTATAGGATGAGTCTGTCCATGCTTCTCAGCACAAGAAGTACAACCTGCCTCTGCCTTCCCAGCTTCTTTTTCAATCACACCCTGAAAAAAAGGAAATGAAGGATGAATGTGGAACAGGTATGAGAGTAACAACACTTAGAGCAACTTTACAAATTCTCTTTTCTTTCATACACAAACTCCTGTATCTGTACTTCCAAAGCAATGCCCAAACCATTCAAACATACAATCTGGGAGAGCTCAAAATAGCTACAGCAGCACCAGCACCTCAAACTGGAAGCTCTGGAGAGACCTAATCTTTACTGAAATTACGAGTTACAGCCACAGAGGCTTCCAAACATGTATTAGCGATTGCATACTTCCAAATGCTTGCCGTAAGCACTACCTATGGTTGCACAGAAACGGCCCTTGCTGCTGCCAGCTCTCAGAGTGAGGAATTCTCTTGAAGTCTCTAGGTGGAGATCATACTGTCATTCATCCTCTCCACTGTGGCCACACAAAACTGAGACTGAGGACCTCACGATTTGTTCTCTGCAAGGACTTTTTTTTCAGGCCCCACCATACAAGACAACATCTTTCTGGACAAACCCATTGTTGGGAATAATACTGGAAAGTTAATGTTAGTTCTGGTTTACATGTTCAGTTGTTACAGCATACAACTATTTCTCATTTATACTTATTGTGCATTATCGTATACCTAGCACTATTTTGAATACAAATTATTTTACTTTTTTAACTGTTCAATAAAGATTTTTTTAAAAATAGTTCTGTTCATTCCATCTGGATCAAAGAACCTCTGTAATAACAGTGAAGTGTTTCCACAAATTTGCTGCTCTGCCTCTTAGAAACAGCTGGGCGATACACTTCTGAATGTGTAAGGGTGGTCAATAGCTGCTCTCCCTGGGACATATTGCCTTTCAGCACTGGATATAGTGAAAGAACAGAGTCCAAAACACATACTTTTTTTTTTTTTTCTTTAAATAAAAATTTTATCTTTTGGGGATAATGACAGAATGTGACTAACAGTTCTTATCTTTGTCTGTACTCAAAGACATTTAAGTAGAAAAAGATGACTGCAAAATAGGAATTTTTGCAAAAACCAAATATTGTAACACCAAAAGAAGCCACTATGACGATAGCTCCTCCGAGAAGTCATAGGCACAGGGACTGGCAACTAGATAACTGATAGAAGTTTTTTACCTTTTCAGATTCTCTCTGTCAGCCCTTTGCCCCACTGAAGACAGAGCTCTGCCTTTCATTTCTAATGAGTTGAAATTTCACCTACATTTATAACTGCAGAATGGAGATTAATTTTAGCTCATAGTACATTAGAAATACCCATAACTACTTTAATCATGATGTCAATGAAATCACACAGTTGAGCTGCTAAGTGCTTCCATATTGGAAAAAGAAGCTAATTTATCATCTCAACTGATACACCAAAAAAAGAGTAAAACTCTAGCACCCTTGAGACATCACCAAAACCCATCCCATTTCTCTAAGGTCCAAACTCCGCCACTCCCAGTCACCTGAAACAACAAATTCTTATTGCACAAGCAATCCAGCTGCAGTGCAACCGCATGTGCAGCAAAATGCTGCTTCATGAGGCGAAGTATAACTCTTCAAAGACTTCAGAATAAAGGTAAGCAGAGGCTGAAATGCAAATTTATTTTAAATTGTAGCTCACATGAAAAGAGCCATCTGCTGAAGCGATAGCTAAACTTAACTCAGGCCTCAGCTCTCTTCCAGTATGTCATCACTGAGCCATTACTGCATTGCTTTATCGGAGGAACCCAACACTTCCTGTGATAAGTACGGCTGCAACTTGCTCAGGCACTAGGTGGGTGTCTCAGCTGCTCCAGACCTCACCCTCCCATGCTTCTTTCTGCTCTGAGGTCAGATAGTTTCAATAAATGCGCTTGAGTCTCGCTGAACATTTTCCATCCTCAATGTCTATCTCTGAACTGTACCTGGGTCACACCTGGGCAGGGACACTGATTCCCGAGGAAAAGCCTCACACACCTCAACAGGCCCCCAGGCACATCCGCTTTTTCTGCTGGGAATTTTTTTCTCCCCTGTGAGAACAGAGACCACCGCTCCAGAGGAACGCCTCTCCCGGG